ACAATTTGCCCTGCCTACAAGATGTGCTGGGGGAAAGATGATGCAGATATTGTGGGAGTGAGCAACTAATGACTGGCACTGGTGAAGACCCATGCCCTGAGGGCCAGAATTCAGAGGTGGGATACCCCAAACACCTAGGAGCAGGCATGGGGGGAAAAAGTAAATTAAAATGATTCATAATCACATTCTGCTATACTTGTAGATTGATGCCTAGGCTAAATGTCATCAGAGAGGTTTCACCCAGCAAATGATGGAAATAGTTTGTTAACTTTTGATATATACCTTCAGTTTTGTTTGCTTCGGGCTCTATTAAAATGAACAATCAATAGCTTGTGAGATCATCCAATACATAGAGTACCAACAACATCAGTTTGAGGAATGGTTGGTGTTTAGATAGAGTTCAGCTGGAACAGAGGTGTTCTGGGAGTACAGCATCCCCCAGAACTCTGAGCTGGCTTCTCTGCTCCCTTCACATATTTCAGTGTTTGTTAATCCACTGGCTTCTCAAACAAAACACTACAAACTGGATCACCTCATAAATTTCTGAAATAACCTCCAGACCCAGCCAGCCAGAACTTTGGGAACTAAAACATCTAATCAAAAACCCAAGGGCTGTTTGTATTAAAACAGCTCCCACTTGTTAGTAACAAACAGGTAACCTTGTAGACACTATGCTTAAGACTATCTCTTTTATCTCACAGAAGCCTTGTAAAACATGTGCTTTATTCCCTATTTTGCAGAGTAAGGATAGAAAATGAACTGCAAGCTCCAGGACATGGAACTTAACTGAGGGAAGGTAGAGCAGGAATGTCTAATATTCTTCCCTTCATCACCTAATGACTCACTTCTTGAAGTTCCCTCCTTTCCCCTCATTCTGCCTTGCCCTATTGCTTTCCACTGTCTTTCTCTCTTTTTTTTTTTGTTTTCATTTTATTTTGTTTTTTGTTTGTTTGCTTGTTTCTCCCTCTTTCTCAAACGAGTTGCCAAATTTTTCTTCTATTTTCCTACCATCTCTTGGTACCTTTCCTGGTAAGCCCATCAACTTTCAATGTTCACACTTATGCAACATGCTATATCTGTCATTCTTGCATTCATCAATCCATTAATCTACCGACTTACTGTCTAACCTAGGACGTCTCTTCACAAAACTGAATACAGATCTCTAATGAACTTTCTATATCGCTTCAGATGCTGCATGCCCCCAAAGGGACCTGACTTCTTGACTTCTCATATATCTGTCTCTTATCCCAAATTTCTGTATTCCACTAGCACATCCATCACCTGCTCTTGCAGACTCTATCCCTTGGAACACATTCTTCTTCACTCAAGCAACACTTACATATTAGGTCCTCTTATCAAGGTCATCCCAATACATAAAAGCTGTTCCTGTCTCAGATGTCTGAGGTCCATCCTTCTAGACTGCTGTGCAAGGTGACCTCTCACCTCTTTTAAAAAACAATTCTGCATAGAGACCCACATCCCTCAGGGGGGCAAACAAACTTCTAGGATCATATGTCTGCTAAGCTTGATTTTATGTCACCTTCCAGGAATCCTTTAAAGTCTTCTTGAATTAGTAACTAGCCATTCCCAAATACCTGCTCAGGCACTCTGATCACACTTCCACCACAACACTAAAGGACAGTTCTCTTCTATTTATTAATAGTAGTTCCTTATGAATGTGAAAAGTACCCTGTAGTGTATTGAGCAGCTGTTCAATGTCAAGACACTGTGCTTCCCCATAATTTAAAAAAAAAAAGTTCCTATAATTCTAGATCACACAGCACTAGACTTCCCTCTTAGACCCAGAAACTACCTCAATTAGAATTGTTTGCACAATCTCAGAGCAGAGAGACTGGCAATTGGTTTTGCTGTTAATAAATGCTTGTTAGAGGAAAGAATATATGTTCATGAAATGCTTCAGATTAAGATCATATGACTAACACAGTTTTCAAAACTAACAGACTTTTTTCAAATTTATTGGATTATGTAGCTCCTCCTTAGGCAGTATGCAAAGTGACATTTAAATAATTAAACCAGCATCCAGTATGGTTAGCAGGATTATCAAATTACACTTTTACTTAGCTTCCAAGATAGAGGATTTTAACACTACATTATACTGGCTGAAAGAAGTATATAAAAATCTATACTCCTATACCCAAACCCACACAATTCATTTTAAAATGAATTTAATTTAATTCATTCAATGTAATTCAAAATTTTAAAAAAAAGTCAAATTGTCTACAGTGAAGATAGTCTTCTAAAGATCTCACATACAAAGTTTTCTGTATATAAACATATTAAAACCTTGCATACACAGGTCAAACCACTCAGCACAGCAAAGAGCACATTAACAAAATTTATCTCTCGCAAATCTACAGGCTTTGTCCTTGACAATGGATACATCATTTCACTAGGATGAGAGAGAAAGAGAAAGAGAGAGAGAGAGAGAGAGAGAGAGAGAGAGAGAGAGAGAGAGAGAGAACAGATAATAATACAGCATCAGGACCTGCTCCCAGCCTGACAGCAGAAAGTGATAGCTGATAACAGAACGGACACCCACACCCAGACAAAGCATATAAAGAAGAATGGCACCTCTGTCTCCATTCTAACACTTCAGCCAGCAGGCAAAGACTATGAAGTGTAAGCAAAAACTAGTTCTCTACCCCTCAACAAATGGCACTGTGGAATCTTTATAGATTCATACTTATCACCCAGACACCACAAAAGAAAATAGCATATCCAGTAACTTCTGAAGAAGGTTTACAAACTGCTTATCTCAATGGCTTTCTTTGAAGTTCTGGTGGTTAATACAGGGTGAACTACCCAGATAATACCTATAAAAATAAGCACCAACTCATGTTGCCCGTATAATGCATATTGCATAAGCAGGCAAAAGTTGACATTGTGTGTGTGCCTTGGCAATTTTCAGGTGTACTCCGGAATTTCAGATTTAATTAATCAAGAAATCTGGTTTGGGATGCAACTCCATAAATTATTTTGAATGGAGTCTGAGGATTGAGGTTAGGTTTAACAGCAATATTTAAAGGATGACTAAGTCCAGGACCACTCATGGGTACCTTGAAATATCCCAAATTAAATAGCTAGAAAAGTTAACTATGGAAAACTTTTATTAAAAAAAAAACTTACAAAATCTTGCCATGAAATGCATTTATTGAGCTTTGGGCAGTAGCAGTACCATGGCCAAATGAGGCTTATTTGAGCTCAGACATGATTATTCCTAATTGAAATGTATTTATTGAACTGTTTGTTATAACAGCTGTTCTAATTGTCATTATAAACACAAAACTGAAAAAAAAAAAAAAAAAGCAGAAGCATGGCCAGTAGTATGTCCAGTCATTAACACGTACCAAACAAAGCTGACCTGGTGTTCTAAATGCCAACATTCTTCCTCACAGTTTAAAAATGTTCCTATAGCACAGACAACACTAGAAGTGCACTTAATCTTGCTGGTGGCAGATAAACTGGTCATTCTCTCTAATACTATCTAGAAGAGTTCAGAGTTGCTAAACAGACATGGTCAGAGCAAGGCCTCAAGCTACCAAGAAATAGTTTCTTCAGGAAAAGTTAACTTCAGACTCAAATTTAATTTGATTAACAAAAAGTTCTGTTCTTCCTTACCACATACTTAAGTGTATGATTTTTTCCCCCGGTTAATTAAAAAAAAAAAAAAAAACAGCCTAAGGACAACCAAGGCATGACTGTTAATGCTATTGGAATGACTAAGGAAGAGTTTCTAACGTTTTAACCTTTTTAAGACAATTGCTTCCCCCCCCTTCCCCCCCCTTCCCCCCCCCCCCGGGCAAATGATTTAAGGAAGCCTACATCCAACAGGGTTATTTGTATATGTTTGTTTGAGGGAACATGGGATTACAGATAGAAGCAACAGCATTTGTGGCATCCAGCCAAACGGCCACACCTTCCTGTCATTAATTTTTTGAGGAAAAAAAAAAAGCAGATGTACAAAGTGATGGCCTAAGATGACAAAAAACTTCAATGCTTTCCTTTGAAAATGTTCAGAAAGCAACCATGTGAAACAGAAGCCTGTGACTTGTCCTGACACTGTGTCACAATTGTGACTTTCCAGGGAAGGTGAGGATCAAGAAAGTCACCCCTTTCTTCCCTTGTGACAACCCCTCCCCCTACCTAGACTTTTCACATTCGTTAATTTCCTGAACTGTAAGCACTTTCCTGCCTCCGCTCCCTCCTTCACGTCCTTCAGAACTCTGAAAGATGCTGATGACTGGTACCAGACACAGGCACAGCAGCGATCCTGTCCCTAAGAGCTGCAGAGTGACATGTTTTCAGTCCCCAACTTTACAACCCTTCAAACCTAGGAGCTCACAGATCAGGTTCTGCCTCCAGACACCTCTGGGTGTCCTTTTGCCCCGGACAGACGGACGCACTGCATCCGCCAGCGCTGGGCGATGGATGCGCTCTCCTCCTGCACCCCCCCCCCACCCCGCCCGCAGACAGGCAGCACCCATCCCGGGCCTCGCGTCTCCCTCACAGCAGGCAAGCCCTGGGAGCCCTCCGGCTCACTCCGCAGAGCTCTCACCTCCCAGCCCGGCCGGCCCTGCACCCCCGTCCGCCATCCCCGGGCCACTCGCGAGTCCGCCGCTGCGGTCACCGAGAGAGAGGTCCCGCGTGTGCGCGAGCCGGGGCAGCCCCTTCCCCGATGCACCCGTCGCGCACCTCCCGCGGGAACCCGCGAGCCAGAGCGTCCCGGGCGGGGCGGCGGCTGCAGGCGACCACCCCGTCCCGGTCAAGCGCGAGGTCCCGCGTCGGGACAGGCGCTCCCGCCGGCGCGGGGGACACCTCAGGGGTGACAAACCGAGCTAGCTGTCCACGGCGCCGCGCCAGAGCCGCGGGGGGCGTCCGTCCGTCAGTCCGTCCCTGCCTCCCTGCCGGCCTCGGACAGCCGGCAAGTGGGCGATCCCGAGCCCTCGGTCCCCACGCCCGTGCGGGCGCCCGCCGCTTACCGCGTGCCCCGGCTGCCTGCCGCGCGGGAGTTGGGAGAGCGCCCGTGTCGCGCGCGGGACGGTCGCCTTCCGAGGCTGGCCCTGAGGGGACGCTGCAGCGCGCCTGTCGGCTTAAGACGGCCGCTCGCGGCCAGGCGATGCTGCACCGTGCCCTCCCTCGGGGCCGCAGCGCGCCTGCTCCCCCGCCCGCCCAGCCCCGCGGGCCCCGCCCCCTCCCTCCCTCCCTCCGCCCGGCCGGGCCCCGCGCGCCGCCCCGGGAGCTGGAGCGCGCTCAGGCCCGCGCGCGCCCGCGCTCCCCCCGCACCCCTGCACCACCCCCGGGCCGCCGCTCGCACCTCCTTGCCTCGCGCTGCCTCGGCCGGCGGGGACACCGATGCGCACGCGCCTCGACGGCGGCGGCCCGGGATGCTGCGAGGCTGCACCTGCCGCAAGGTCTCCCCCTCGAGGCGCGCCTGCGCCCCGCTGCTCCTCGCCGCCCGCCTTTTTTTTTTTTTCTTTAATCTCCCGCCCCCCCCCCGCCGCCGGCGCTACAGAGGAGCGGAGCCCGCGGGGCGCCGGCGCTCGCCCCCTCCACTTCCTGTGGGCCAGCCTGAGAGTCGCTCTGAGAGGGGAGCCGCGGGTCCGAGCGCACGCCTGCGCACACGTGGAGAGCGCAGAAAACGCGGGCCTCGGCCGCCTGGAAAAAGCCAACTGGGGCTGCTCGTGAAAGGGCCATTTAAAGTTTTGCTTCGTTGGGTCCGGCTTCCTGATTCTGACTGAAAGTGTTTGCTAGCCGCGTGGCCGCCAAGTTGGCTTCCAGGTCAGGAAGCAACACTTCCCAAAGAGTTTGTGACCTCTGGTGCCAAAGACACTGGAGACCAAATGTCGGTGGCAGGCTACAGGCTGCAGAAAATTCAGGCACTATTTTCTACACACACACACACACACACACACACGTGTGCTATGATGCAGCCATGAAAAGTTTGTGTTTAAATGTTCAGACACACACACACACACACGTATGTGTGCTACGATGCTGCCATGAAAAGTTTGTGTTAAACTGTTCAGAGATGAAAAAAGAAGGATGCCGTTATTGCTGTTTTAATGCACCAACTTAAGCAAAAAAGAAATTTGTGTAATGATATGACCGATTATTCATTGTTCTTATTAACAGTATATTTAAAAACTATAGTGCCCAAAGGTCATAATCCCAAATCTTTGCTCTAATGGAGTTTTCAAATACCTACAAAGGCGATAATGCACTTGTCTTCTTTGTAAGTTAGAAATCTCCATACTTGACCTAAGGAGATTAATATGGTGTACATTTATTTTTTTAAATTGCAATAGAAAAATGATAGAAAAATGAAAGCAAGTATCAAATATAATATAATAAATAGAGAATATGAAAAATTTCTTTAAAAGCTTTGTTTTCTCAAAAGTCATGTTCTAGTTGCAAGTAATTGTCCTAAAAAAAGTGTACATAAATTCTTGACATTAGAGATTTAATAAATAATTTTGACTTATCTTTTCTATAATTTGTGTCACATCCATGTGCTTAATAAAATCATATTAACTAATAATACTGTATTTTTGTCATACTTAAAAGATGTTGAAAAATGTTGAAATTACTGAATATTGTATGTAGCTATATCCATGAATTTTGTATCTATGATCCAGACATTATTCGACATGTTTACCACAGCCCAGCACCAAAAGGACGTTCCTCAACTTAAGCTGATTATGCCTTTGCATAAATTAGAATGGAATTATGTGTCTGGGCTTTGAAACAATAAAGGAAATCATAAAAGTAAACCTCACTCTCTTCATTTTAAAATACCATAGCCACTGGCATTTAATATAACTGAGAGGATAGTTAGATAACATGAATAACATTTACTTTATTACTTCCCTTCAAAGAAGGGTGCATAGTTTTCACATTCAATCCGTCTTTTAAGTTCCTATTCACACTAACAGGAATTGCTCCGGTTACAGAGTGTTGCATTAGATAACATATCCTATCCGTAAAGGATGTTTCAGCCTAGGTAAAATAAATTTGGTGTGTTTTTGCTACATACCACATTCATTATTAGTTCATATAGTTTAATATAAAAAGGCTTATTATAATTCTAGAGACTCTTGGACCAAAATGATTTCAGTGGAAAATATCAATACTTGTGAGACATAACAGCTTCGCTAGTAATCATTAACTATTAATTTTGTGACACAACTGAGTTTTACTCTTTATTAGCTGTGTTACCAATTGCTGTCTCTCTTGATATTTTTGACCAATAAGATAGTCATGATGTGGTGCTGGAGAGAGGGCTCAGAGATTAAAAGTTAGCCCTGCAATTATGGATCTTGCCCTTATTTGTAGAGAGTAATAGCTTACAAACATTTAAGAAAACACATGTGTGTATACAATTAGATTATTTAAGTTAATTAACTATGAGGCAAATCATAAGGAGAAAGGAAAAGGTGAGAAATTAACTTGTGCAGGACTTGATATAAAGGGTCTTGGAAGTGATTCAATTTGTTTCAAGACAGTAACAGAGAAAGTCTATCAAGTATTGAGGATTACTTTGTGTGAAAATAGTATATTGTTAGTTCTTCCTTGACAAATACAATAGCCTACTTCGTATTATAAATAAAAAGTTAACTTTTATATCTCAACATTAAAACCTATTGCTTTTTTTCCAGTGTACTTTTCACCATTTTGCTCCTAATGAACAAGTGAGTGCCCATAGGTGCAGAACTGTCAGTCCTGTTTCAAATGTGAACATACCCTGATCCTCTACCCCAAGAAGAACTGAGAACAGAAAGATCAAGTTGCAAATTCATCCTTTAAATATGACGAAAGTGATATGGAGGAAGTTAGAACTGAGTAAGAACACATAGGAAAGCTTCACAAACACTTACTTGAAAGCCCAAATGTTGTGAACGATGAATAAAATTCTCAGTAGGTCAACAGGTCAACAGTAGAGGACACTTGACTAGAAAGAATAGAAAGACTGATCTAGCTATGTTTTTCTCCTTTATTAAACTCACCCATTATTATCCACAGTGTGCCACTGTTTCTGTTGATGTTCTTAGATAAAACCACTCTTTTTCCGATTTCAAGTAGAAAGAACAAAGACAAAACCACACACAAAATACATAAAAGAAAAAGTAGGCAGTGAGATGTCAGGATCCATATATGGTATGTAACAATTTGAAAAAAAAAAATTCAGAAGGGGTAATGGAATTTGAATAAAGATCTCTTGGAAACAATACTAGAGAAGAAAAAAAAATGCACCTAAAAAAATCTATGAGTTTTGGGCTTTTCATAGCAAATGCCATATGACTTAATAAGTTTTATTGATGTATTGAAACACTAGCAGGGATACGAATATATAACGGCATTATTACTTATGTAAAATCAGTGTGTTCTACAAATATATCCTTAAAGTCTTTAACAATAGTTCTTTCTACAACCAAGTATAAAATGGTATAGTATAGACAGATACATAGATGTACATCTGTAATCTTAGCACTAGAAAGTAGCAACAGGAGAATCGGAAGTAAAAGGTCATCATAGTCTACATACTAACTTTGGAACCAGTCTGAACTACATGAGCAAACCTTTAAAGAGACAAAACTAAATAAATAAATAATGACATATTTTTCTATCGTTCACCCCTGTAATGTTGATCATGCAATAAGGAGCACAGCAGAACAGATTTAAGTTCAATTGGGGGAAGAAGAAATGGGTGGCTATCCATTCCAATGTCCCTTTATTAATAATCTCAAATGTTTGAATATATTGCCTGGGAGGACATCTACAGCTTCCCATACATTGAACACTTCATAAAGTACCTCTGATGGTCATTCTTCCAAATGTGATTATCTGTTTAAAGATAATAATAGGGGCCCGATGTCCACAAAGACTCAGTAAGTCTAATTTAATGTTAATAATAATCATTTAAAGTCAAATGATAATTATGAAAATTGTGACATCTATTTTGTACCACTAGGTCTAATTTGACACCAGTAATAATAATGATCAGTGAAATTATAATTATCATGAAATACATGTTGTTAACTTTGAATCCTTAATATCAAGTTTCAGACAAAATATCTCATTTACTTCTCATGAAAATCCTACAAAAGTGTGTTAAGTATTGTCCTTGTTGAATATAAAGTAGAGGTCGTGGGATAAGACTTAGCCAAATTCACTAACAGAGCAGCAAAATGGAAAGTTCAGTTGAGCTATGTTTGAGTCAGTAGTAATGTTCAGGATTATTTTTATTATTGGGAAATAGCATGGATAAAACTCTGATTCTTGATCTAGTGTCCAATGAGTTGAACATTTAAAACACTTTCTAAAATTTTGTGATGAACCAGGTTTAATCAGTTATGGGAAATATATGGTAACATCGAACCTTTCTTACATAATCATTGACAAACTTCAGGCCTGGGAAGGGTCATACACTGGATTCCTACACTGCCTATATCTAGTCTCTGACAGTGGTTATTGCCACAATTTTATCAGAGAGTACAACCATGTCACAGGACATTAAAGCTAAGTCTCAGTTCAGCAAATGCCTTCAGGTCTATTCCCATGCACTTTCCAGATACTACTTATTATTACACAGCTTGTTAGACTCATCCTGTAATGCCTTCTGGCAACAAAGAGTTTTATAATGTATTAAATATTGTACTAATGCTTATTATAAGGACTTGAATTTATTGTAAGCCTTAGGCAATATCAACTAGTTCTGAAATCCAATCAGCAGGCAGACGATTACATGATCATCGTATGCTTTAAGTTTTGATAAAAGGGCTGCTTGACTAAATACATCCATAGCAGCTTTTAGATTCAGTAAGCATAATTAAAATGTCAAAACTTTCTGTCATTTTTTCCATGTGTCCTTGTATTGATGAGCATTAGTGAATACTTCCTTCTTAAATGTTAATTTGCCTGATAATGTTACTTACTCACACTGGGCAGTTAAGGAAGACTTTGATTCTTTTCCAGATATTTCCTTCAGTATTTTCACACTAAGAACAAATTGCATTGCTTTTAAGAAAGTAGTAAGGAAGCTGGGCATCGTTGTGTATGTTTATAATCCCAGCACTCAGAAGGCAGAAGCAGGAAGACCTCTGTGAGTTCAAGGCTACCCGGGTTTACATAACAAGTTCCAGGATAGCCAA